CGCCTACGAGACTTTAACAGTCGAGCGTTCAGGCGAGCAGCCTGGCAACTGAAGAAGCATGTTAGGGCTGGTGGTAGTATGTTAAGTGGAGATTGGCTAAAGGCTTGGTGGCCGGAAATGGACAGACTTTATTGGTTTTGTCAAAAAGCCTCTTTGACGTAATTGCCAAGATCGGCCCCACAGTTTCGTTTCCCGAACAATACGTCACAGAAACACAAAGGCACGAATCCGCCGGAGGCGAATGATTTAGAAATGGAGTTGAAAACATGTACAGATGACTCACCTGGTGGTAGAATCCATCGGCACAGGATGCCTATCATTGCGCAACGTTTGAGTGTTGTAGTCCTGCCGGTAGACCTGCATAACGCTCGACTGCATTCAGTCGGAAAGATGCAACCGACTGGCGTGTTGACGGGCCAGAGGCAGAGAGGCTGGGGTCTGGGGTCCGAGGTCTGGTGGGCAGCGGTGAGGGAGACCGAGGGTCAAGAGGAGGAGACGATCGAGACTGGTTTACGATGTGGAGCTGCTGCGCCCATCATGTTGGTGGCAGTAAGTGGAGGGCGAAGGCGAGGCAAGGGTTGGTTGACCGGTCGTGAGGGTGTCCGCAATGGGGGCAGAAGAGAGGGCAAGCAAGAAGACAGAAAGTATCGCTTAAGTGGACGTCTACAGGCATCAGCAATGCATTTATCAGGCCGTGAATATGCAATAAAAGACAGCAAGGGGCGCCGTGGCATGAGTAATTTGTTTCCTCTATCCGGTCGGATGGAAAGCATGCAGAATTTGTCGGAATGTGAAATGATATGATATGATATGATATGATATGATATGATATGAGGAAAAGCAGACGCTGGCAGGGCTATAAGTGCTGATATGGGCGGAGTGTGCGGCATTGGGCAAAACGCCAGCATAATCATAGTTTAGACGCAATTGTGATGTCGAGATGGAGGCAATGGTCAGGAGGGCTTTTCTACACGTTACAGACTCGAGCTGTGATTCCCTGCGATTCAGTCAAAATGTCAAGAAGCCCGGGACCAAGTTGAAAATGAATCATTCTAAACTACTCTTTGTTTATTTTTCGTGTGTAAGTAGAGTTTCGAGACAACCAGCAAATCAGTAATATGAGCTGTATTCAACCCATTTCGTTTCACACGTCTCGATTGCATTTCACACAGCCTTGTTTTCCCAAAAGTTGCTCTCCTCCAGGCGCCAGTGGGCTGCGGCCTGTACCTCGCCTCGGTATTATCTACACCCCCAGCGGGAGTCGAACCGTGACAGTGCAGAATGGAAGCTTGACATGTTAACCATTCGACCACATTTTCCTATTTAAGTAGAGTTTCGAGGCTAACAGTAAATCAGTAATATGAGATGTATTCACCTAATTTCGTTTAACGTGATGAAGGAATGGTAGTAGAATTTTCATCCAAGAGCCTTGCTTTCCCAAAAGTTTTTCTCATTCAGGGTAGCTTTTTCAACACCCCAAGCGGGAGTCGAACCGTGACAGAGCAGCATGAGGGTTTGACACGTTAACCACTCGACCACATTGCCACGAGTGGCCTTGGGTCACGGGGCAGATGTGAATTTCAAGGAAGGTCAGGGTTTTTTCAATATCACATTCTTTAATGGGATTGTCGATTAAGCAAACGTATTTATGCTATAAAAATCGACTATGTTACTTATTTTTCGTATGCAATTAGAGTTTCGAGACTCTCGTATTACTGATTTACTGGTAGTTTCGAAACTCTACTTACACACGAAAAATACGTAACGTAGTCGATTTTTATAGAAAATATACGTTTGCTTATCGACAATCCCGCCAAACAATATGATTTGGTGGGATTGTCGATGAAGCAAACGTATATTTTCTATAACAATCGACTACGTTACTTACTTTTCGTGTGTAAGTAGAGTTTCGAGAGTACCAGTAAATCAGTAATATTAAATGCATTCACCCTATTTCATTGAAGATGATGAAGGACAGTGCTGACGCCTCGATTAAATTTTACTTTACTCATATCATTGTAAGAAAATTCTACTACCAGTCCTTTATCACCTTAAACGAAATTGTGTGAATACATCGCATATTACTGATTTACTGGTAGTCTCGAAACTCTACTTAAATGCGAAAAATAAGTAACATAGTCGATTT